TGGATCGGCTGAGTCGAACTCCTTCTGCACTTCGGGTCAGCCGAACATGCTGAACATGTTCGGCTGATCCGAAGCCACACGAAGCAAGCCGATGTACGGCTGATTTCAGCCGATGTACGGCTGAAATCAGCCGTACCAGCCTGAAGTGAATAGCCGAACAGTGTTCGGCTCACTTCACTTCTGATCGGTCATTCACTCGGCTGCCCTCGGCAGCTTTGTGAATAGACCCCATACTCAATGTCCTCATGTTATGATTGAACAGGAACACTCAGTATAGAGGATTCCTGTTCATTGATAACAGGGGATACAGAAAAAGATTGACGGCTCTGTGCACCTCTAATTTTTTTTAAAAACTTTTTTATCATTTTTTTTTCTTTTTAATCATTTTTTTTTTTATTTTACTATCTGTTACTTTTTATAATTTTCATTATTATTTTTTACTTATTTTTTCATAAATGTTTATTTTTTTTCACTTTACTTTATTGCTATCACACAAGAGCTAACAAGCCGCATGTGTGGTAGCATTCGGAGGTGACAGGTTCTCCTTATTGAATCTGTCACCCTCAATACAGGAGTTCTAGCACAGTACTGTGCTAGAACTCCTGTGACAGCTGAGAGGAAGGGCTGCGAGTGCAGCTCTCCCCTCACTGTCTACTTAACCCGGCGTGAAGTGTGGGGGGGGCGGGACCTTTATGACGGGGAGCCGGAACTTACCTGCCTCTCCTCTGCTCGGAGAGGCGGCTCTGATCACACCTGTCTGCTCTCCCTCTCTCTCCTACTGGCCGCTCTGAAGCTGCAAATGTTGGTGCTGCCTGTAGAGTTTAATTAGTAAATGGAACATACTAAAAGGAATGACAGAATGGAATGACAGGGTATGGGAATGTCCTTAGACTATAATGAAGCCAAACGGAATGCCCAATCTGCCCAATGCCCAATCTGAAAAAGATATCAAGTTAACCTTTATCGCAGGTGTTCCCCATGTATAGTAATATAATTTACAATTGAAATGACTTGGGGATTTTTCATGTGTTTCCATGGAATGACAGGTGAATAACACAATGGAATGCCCATAGAGTATATTGGGAAGAAAGATGGGACTTGCAGTAAGAATTATTTGACGTATCAAATAAATCATTAGAAGACATCCTCTACCGGCACAGTGGCATATTCCATTGTGTCATTTACAAGTCATTCCATGGAAAACATGAAAAATCCCGTCATTTCAATTGTAAATTATTTTACTATACACGGGGAAGACCTGCGATACAGGTTAACTTGATATCCTTTTCAGATTTGCCTACAAATTATCTAATATGTATTATTGCTGGGATTTGTTGTTCCTCTATAGCTGCTGGTATTCTGCATTGCGCCACTGTATAATGTATTATTGCTGGGATTTGTTGTTCCTCTATAACTGGTCGGTGGTATTCTGCATTGTGGCGCTGTATAATGTATTATTGCTGGGATTTGTTGTTCCTCTATAACTGGTCGGTGATATTCTGCATTGTGCCGCTGTATAATGTATTATTGCTGGGATTTGTTGTTCCTCTATAACTGGTGGCAGTATGCATTGTACCGCTGTATAATGTATTATTGCTGGGATTTGTTGTTCCTCTATAACTGGTGGCAGTATGCATTGTACCGCTGTATAATGTATTATTGCTGGGATTTGTTGTTCCTCTATAACTGGTCGGTGGTATTCTGCATTGCGCCGCTGTATAATGAATATACAGCGGCACAATGCAGACTAACACCAGTTATAGAGGAACAACAAATCCCAGCAATAATACATTATACTATAATGTATTATTGCTGGGATTTGCTGTTCTTCTATAGCTGGTGGTAGTCTGCATTGCGCCGCTGTATAATGTATTGTTGCTGGGATTTGTTGCTCCTCTATTGCTGGTGGTATTCTGCATTGCGCCGCTGTATAATGTATTGTTGCTGGGATTTGTTGCTCCTCTATTGCTGGTGGTATTCTGCATTGCGCCGCTGTATAATAACATCTCTGAATTGGTTCTGCGGCAAGAGAGGTAGCCAAGATTCTAGCCTGGGCAGAACTGCACCTTCCAGTCTTTTCTGTTGTTCACATTCTGGGGAACAATATTAGGGGTCTAATAGACTATAAAGAGGACCTGTCACCGTGTCTGTGCCCCGTGTCGGGGCTTGTTAGCCTACGCACCTACGTGTGAAAACAACTATTGCATCACACATTACATATCCCGCAAACGTCGAAGTGCAAGCAATAATTCCAAGGGCATCAATCACTGTTAACACTAAGGCCCCATTCACACTGCGCGATTTGCAAATCGCCCGTTTGTCGCGCGATTTGCATTTTGCGCAATATCGCACGATTTGTCGCGCAATATCGCGCAAATGCTTGCATTGAGCAAGCTGGAATCGCGGCAAAATCCGCTCCAAAAAGGGTCCTGCTGTAGCGACGCACGACCCACGACAGCAGGACCCTTTGCCCCATTGCCAAGCATTGGAGAGCAATGAGAAAGTAAACAGGTTTTTGATTAACCTCCCTGGCGGTATTTCACTAGTGTGGCTCGGGGTTAATTATCAGTACCAAAAGCGGTAACCCCGAGCCACACTCGGGATTGCACAAAAGTGTCACTTACCTTGTCCCTGCGAGCCCGCGGTGTCCTCTGCTGTATGCGCCTGGCCGATGCCGGCATTTGGTTTTCAGTTTTGTTTTCGGCATCACAGCGGGGGGCAGAAGCGGCAGGAAATTCAAAAGTGAAAACATGCAATATACACAGAATACACACAATACAATGTAATCTGCAATGATTACATTTATGTATCAAACCATTTCACTTCAATTTTGTCCCTAGAGCTTTGTCCAGTGCCCTGCCTGCACTTTTACTGTTCTTTCTGCCTGGAAACTTGACAACGTCCATGGCATCCAAAATGCGTCCTTTTAGGTCAAAAGCAGTTTTAGACCAGGTAGAAAACAGCGATAGTAAATTAGAATCACTTGCAGAATTGAGTGATAGCGATTCGTTGGGAAATTCGTCATCAGACACTGAAAGTGACGACATCGACGATTCTGCGACCGAGCTCACTTACCTTTAAATCCATTTCTTGACGTTCATTAAGGGACACAGGTCCTATCCCTCTGTGTTTGTGATCTACTTCTAATACTGCTTTCCTACAAAACTGAAGTATGGTGGGAATAGGAGGGTTTATATCTGGCTGGCTAACAGCTTTTTTAATTTGCCAGTGACCATTTACTCCTGAGGGCAGCAGTATAACCCAAATTGTCTCAGCATACCTGCATTCTGTATCCCTTAAAGAATTCAGAAAAACAAGTTTTACAATAAGTACAAAAAGTATTTGTTACATGATATGTTTTACATTTTTACAGTACTCGTTTTTTTTTTAGAATATTGTTATGTTTCTTTCATTTACAGATATGCCCTGCATACAGTATAATCCCACACCACCTGGTTCCACTTACATTACCCAGGTTTGTGGCCATGCCTCTGATTTCAGTTCAGAAGTGATGAATTCTGCAAGTACAAAATGTAACATGGAACTAAGAAGCACAGAGATAACTGCTTCAGCAACCACATCTTTGCCAAGCTTTAGTACTTTTATTGAGGGGTATTCAGGAAGCTATGAATGTAAACCATCTTGCTTGTACCAAATACAAGCATGTGGGCAGAGACCACTGATAAAAATGGAAAATCCCAATTTATCCAGTTACCATGGTACAGCTCCACAGCAAACAGAAGATGTTCTGCCAAGCACTTCAGTGTATTTCAAAACATCTCCACCATCAACTCCAACTACACCAGGATATTCAACTCACAAGTCACCACAGTGGGAAGACACTCATGCCTTGCCAGGTACTCATTCTTGCATGACTCCTAGTAACTTGATGGAGACCCCACATAGGACTTTTTCTCCACGTTTTCCAATTTTTCGCTTTAAGAATTCTCCTCCTCATACACCACTGTATAACCCTCAGGTGTGCTATGAATCTTCTCATAACATGCCAGCAGGCCTTCCAGGAGACGCAGCACAAATATCAGTGGAGTCCTTATCATTTAATTTACCAATGGCAAAGGTGTCAAATCTTGTCTTTTCTCCCCTCGCAACTGGCCAAGCTATTAACATGGTAAGTGAGGGCAGTATTCCATCACCACCCAGCAGAAGCTCTTCAACTGGGGAGGGATCATGCGCAGTGTGTGGAGATAATGCAGCCTGTCAACACTATGGAGTTAGGACATGTGAGGGATGTAAAGGCTTCTTCAAAGTAAGAAACCATGTCTGTGTCAGGATACATATGTGTAAAGATGTCCTTTTAATAGTACACTTACTAAATGTATTATTAAAGGGTTTTTGCATTACAATCCATCTGTGAATTCACACTCACTTACTAGACTGTGATGGGAAGTGTTTATTAAAAGAGAGCAGGCAATCAGTGACAGGGCAAGGTCCTTTACTACCCAAGGTGAAGATGCCAAAGTGAGAGCTAAGACCCAATGGAAGGGACAATAGTGATCATACAAGTTGAAAAACCTTCTTACTCATTAGAGTTTCTAACACACCTTTCCCCACAGACTTAAACATGAATGGGTGCCTCAAGCGACCATTCACATTTAGCTGAGGCAATGTTACTGAAGTCTTGGACCATTAATATGCCTGAGGGCTGTAGGATCATGCCTGCACATCCAGGCAAGCAAAAGGTACAGAAATGACAACCACTTTCTACCTGCCCAGAGTTGCCACCTTTTGGTCCAGGGATGTAAGATAAAAATTAAGTAAAGCCTATCTAAAGTGAGCATGTTGTAAAAAAAACATTTCCTCTACCTAGGTAATGTAAATCCTCAGTCTTGTCTTGCAGGTTTTAGACAGCAATTTGTTGTGTTATACAATTGAGTTTCTAGTTCAAAGTATGTTCTAGCTCAAAGTATGTTGAGATTATTTACAAATTAAATAAAGGACCATGGATTTTCAGTATTTTTTAATGTCGTGCTATAAAAAGCCAACTAACAAAATGAACCAAGCAAAAAAAAGTTTTATACAAACAGTCCAAAAAGCCCAAAAACTAGCTAGAAGGAAGGCGTTAATAAAAATTAAGTAATTTAAAGTAGTATTAAACTTTCAAACTTTGTTTCAATAATTAATCCAAATCAAACAAATACACATGGTCAGCAAAACATTTCTTAGCTTTTAGCCCAAACACTTTCAGTTATCATGTTTCCAAACAACTGGCCTCAGCTCTCTCAGATCATTAAGGAGAGGACAGTCTCCAGCAGCTGTCCATCTACTAGCTTTGAGAAGGGGTAAAGAACAGGGGGGTGGCTTGCCTTGCTGTGCCTGTGTGTTTTTAGAGGCACACCAAGCTTACTAGCACACACAAGGGTGGCTTCATAGGACTCTGCAAGGCAAAGGAGCCACCCTAAAACAGGATATCAAGGCCAGTGCTTAGGGAACCAGCTGATTCTGCAGGTAGCTAAAACTTGTATACATCAAGGAGCAGCATGTGGTGTAAGTGATTTAAACAGCATTTGAAAAAGCTTAAAAATATTTTGACTTTAAAGTAGTAATAAACTCTCAATCTTTTTTTTTAATCTTGAGTCCCGATCAAACAAATATACATTGGCCAGCATTTCTTTAACTTTTTGCCTAAGCACTTGATCATCATGTTTCCAAACAGCTTATTCAAACTCTCTCAGCTCATCTTTCCTGAATTTCCTGTGCAGTACAAGATCACAATGTACAGAGCAAACTCCCGCAGCTTTCCATCTACTAGCATGCAGGAGGGAGGAGCAGAGAGCGGAGGGATGGGAGTGTCTTGCCATGCTGTGTGCTTGTGAAATTGAAAGAGCAAGTCACCAGCACACTGTCTTCTTCATAATTAAAACACCTTTATTGACTTCTTAGAGAAAACATATCAGAAGTGGGAGTGCAATGTTTCGGGGCCACACAGGGTCTCTTCATAAGGTCTTGTTCACACCTAGGCGTATTGCATATGCGCGTCTGTCGTTTTTTTTACCGCGATTCGCGGTAAAAAAGTTGCGCGACAAACGCGCGTTTCCGAAGGCTACTTGGCTGTATCCCAATGGAAACGCGCAACAAAACGGCCCAAAGTAGTACCTGTACCTTTTCAGGCGTGGGCCGTTTTGTAGCGCGTTAGGGACGGGCGGAAATACGCCAAGGTGGGAACGAGACCATTGAATACAATGGGATTTATATTTTTGAGCGTTTTGTAGAGTGTTCGTCGAGCGTAGAACGCGCTACAAAACGTTCAGGTGTGAACGAGGGCTTAGGCAATGCCTGATGGAAGGGACCCTGTATGGCTCCGAAACATCACACTTCCACTTGTGATATGTTTTCTCTAAGACCCCAATAGCGGCATTTTATTCATGAAGAAGACAACGTGCTGGTGTATTTGTCCTTCAATGCTATTTCTGGCGGCGCCATCTGCTGGTCACTTCAGCACCCACAGAAAGCAAAAAAAGAGAACACATTGATCAGGTGTGCAATAGGCTATCTAGATTTATGTGTGCTGGTGGCTCCATAGCATCCTGCAAGGGAAATGAGCCACCCTAAAAAAGGATACCGTGGCCAATGCTTAGGGGATCATGCTGACACTGTCCTTCCTTCTGGAGGGTGGCTACTTTTGTTCCCCATGGTCCCTCTGTGTGTTGTATGGAAGCCATCGCTCCAAGCTCGCTCCTGTGATGACTACAATCTCAATATAAATTAGTAAACTAAACGCGAGATTGTAGTCCACCACGGGAGTGATCTTGGAGCGTTGGCTACTTTACAACACACACAGGGACCATGGGGAATGAAAGAAGCTACCCTCCAGAAGGAAGGACAGTGTTAGCATGAATTCAGAGATGATTTGAGGATCTACAACTGAGTGATACACAAATAAGCTACATTTGTGTTAATAGATAAGGTACTTGAATGCATTTTTAAGACTTGACTCCTGAGTTTAGTGGCATTTTAAATATATAGTACAGAGCCCCCAAGTCTATTTTAGGCCAGAGCCCTTCTTGGCACTAAGCCACAATTCAGCTGTCAAATAAAAGAGCCTCTACTGACTACTCCTGGCATTTGAAGGCTGCATTGGCATCAGGGGGGCAAATGTTAGTCCCCAACTTTGGTAGAAGTCAAGTCTTCTAGAAGGGTATAAGATCAAAGGTGACTCCACATAGACAGTGGATTTGCTTTAAAGAGAAAAACAGGTACTTGCAGGTATCACAAGCTACATATAAGCAGTTTTTATTACCTTAGAAATGTTTTAAGCCAGGTCAGGCAATCTATAAAGAACCATTCCATGCAAACTAATTGTTTAAAGATTGGTGATGCAAATGTGTGTTAATATATAATGTATATCTTCTGATTCCTAAAGTACAGATATACTTTATGTTGGCTCTCCCAATAATCTCTATAGAGCTTGTAGTTACACCTGGTGCAAAGGAGAGGGTATAATAGATAGGAGATGGGTGCTGTAACCCATAAAGCGTTTTTAGTTTAAAAAAAAAAGTGCACTTCCACTTGCAAATTTCCTTTTCGTGAAGTACACATGGTATAAAAAAGAAATGTGTAAATGTAAGATTTAATTACAAAAGATTTATATGATTTCTAAATTATTTATTGTATATCTTCTAAAGAGCATCACTCAACAATGAACAAAAGTCAGCAAAGAAAAATAGTTACACAAATAAAAATAAAATAAAGTTTGTAAATGAGAACCTTTAATAGCAGCAATTTCATATATAATTGTATTGTATCATTAAATGTGTCTGAATCTTTTTTAAGTCTTCTTGATTATTGCAATAAGCACTATTAGTTCTAATATGTGGAATTCTACTGCAGGCTATTGAATTAGGAAGATCTACTTTACCTAATAATGCAAATTGCATTTTGTTTATGCAGTGATAAATTACCTGTCTTGTTCTGTTATCTTCTGGTATTTTCCACCAATTTAAAGTATTCTCTTGTATATATTTTTAGAGAACAGTGCAGAAAAATGCAAAATATGTATGCCTGGCAAATAAAACTTGTCCAGTGGACAAAAGAAGAAGAAACCGCTGCCAGTACTGCAGATTTCAAAAATGCCTCAGCGTTGGCATGGTTAAAGAAGGTAAAATATTTTATTTATTATGCTTGTAAGCTTATTAGCAAAGAAACTTGATATTCTACAGTACTGTCCTCTTTTCTACTATAAAATTTGAATTGCAGTGTGAAGATAAAATATAATTTGTTAAAGTTGACCCCCAGGAAGATATAAAAACAAAAACAATATATCCATTCTGCATCCATTAAATCCATTTTACATAGAACCAGCCTAGGTTTTTACATTTGCCTTGATACTAGCCTCCTGGAGGACCAGCGCTATAGTCCTGCTGGGGCTCCATTAATTTGTACAGTGCTGTCATTCAAACACTAATCATGCTTATAGTAATAGTACAAGAGAACAGAGAGTGCTACTTCTCCTTCAAATCGCAGGTTGGTGTTTGTCCTGGACCAAGCCTTATTGCTTAACTGCAGTGTGTTCTGCAAGCTTTTAGTGAGGTACACTGCAGCACGATGTGTATGTACATTTTAATTAAATTTGAATTTCACACCAACACGCATATACAATGCACCTGCGTTGTGCTGTGCCGCAATGAAAAAAAATGCATTTTTCCTATGTTGAGCCCCATTCAAATAAATAAATTCAGATAAACTGTCTGCCTTAACACAGCGCCTAGTTACCACATGGCGCTTTGTGTGCAGGAGCCCTAATGGAATGTGTGCAGAACAAAAAAGTAATGCTTGATGATCATGGATTTGAGATGTATGTATAGCCAAACATTTTTTGTTTTGTTTTGGATAACGTAAGAAAGCAACAAAATGTAGCTGCGTTAACTTTGAATACCCAATCATGTGTAGCTGAAATAAATACATAGTAATTTATTTCATCTACACATGAAAGCTTTTTACTTGATTGAATAATTGAAGTGGATCTTCACACAATTTATTGAGTGAAAATTCCCAACTATGTTAGTAAATCAGCTTCACTGTACCCAAAACTATAGTAACAGTTGATTGTACATACCTGAAATAGTGTTGCTACCTAAATGTACTTGCCTAAGTACCAGTTACAGGAAATATAATTTGACATGGCATATCTTATTAATGTACTTAGTTGTAAGGACAGATAGTCTGAAAGGAAGAAGAGGAAGACTTCCATCTAAACCAAAAAGTCCATCTCATCAAGAATCATCTCAAATGAGTTTGCCATCTCCTTCAAACAGTCTGTTGGAAGCTTTGATTCAAGCAGTTGAAGACTCTTCACCCAGGGATCTAGACTACTCTACAGTAAGTTTACTTGTTTTTCTTTATAGCCTTACAAATGTTTTGCACAGCATATACATCATTTGCATCAGTTCCTACTAGGGATGAGCTTCGAGTAAGAGTTGACCATGAGTTCGACCTGAACTCTAGATGTTCCCAATTTGGCAAAATGGTGAACAAATGTGATTGTTCACCACCAGAGCAACCAATTACCAACCATGCAATTCCTGGCCTTTGAACTGTGGTCAGGTGGCATAGAAGGGCCAGTAATGGTGGATTTCTAATGTGCCAGCTCCCACCCTATAAAATTCAAGGTTCTCATTAGCCTTTTGGCAGTGTATATTGTTGTTGGAGTAGAAAGGGACAGCTGACAGAGCATTTTCAGGGAGAAATAGTTACTGCTATAAAGTACTATATAGTGCTAAATACAGGCGTTTGTCTATTTCATATATGGCTTTTTTTGTTACGAATAGCAAATACTTGTACCAATATGTTGTTTGTATGCTTCTTCCTAATAAAAAAATAATAGAAAATATTCATAAAAATTAAACAAAACTTATTGAGAATTAAATACATAAACACGGTTTTTAATGCATTTCTTTTAATCCACAGTACTCTAGTGACACTGACCAGGCAGCTGCCAGCACAGATATAGAATGTATTCAACAGTTCTACAATCTCCTTACTATCTCCATTGAAATCTCTAAAAAATGGGCAGAAAAAATTCCTGGATTTGTTGAACTTTCACATGATGATCAGACATTACTGATAGAAATGGCATTTCTGGAACTTTTTCTACTAAGACTTTCGATCAGGTATTCCTGCTTTATGTTTATATTTTGAAATGTTTACATAATTTGTTTTAAAGAGACACAGATTCTAATGTGTTGATAGGCCACATGACAGTCTAAACCCTATTTTATTACTACATCTTATTTTTTTAGTCACAATCATTTTTATTAGGTATTGAAAACAAAAATATAAAATACAAGTACAACAGATGGGCCTCAGAATATACAAAATAGTGCAATACATTTGAAACAGAACTTTCACAGCATCAAATGAGAACCCTAAAGGGTCTCCATATGCAGGAATCACTTTCACTCTGAAAAAACAATAGAGCAGAGGCTGTCCGTGAGTCCGCTCATAAAGGTATATACCAAGCCCACCATTGATACAGTGAATTAGAAAAAGAAGAAACCAGAAAAGTAAGAGAAAGCCAAAAGAAGAGAAAGTGTAAAGACAAGAACAAAGGGAAGGCAGAGGTAAGTGGGTTCTAAAGAAACTGCAAAGAGGGAACGGGAAAGAACCCAGGCTATTCAGACCATGGCATCCCATTAGCAAGTTTGCACACAGGGCAATAATAGCATTTGTCCCATGTCCAGGGTTACCCAGGGGTCCAAAATTGTACAGAACTTATGCTTAGTGCCATGCCGATAGCAGCAATTGTTATTCATCTTATTTTTTGAACATCTGTGAGTATAAAAAATTATTTTAATTTTGAATGCAATGCATTTGTCTGCATGTGGCATCAACATTTAAATATTTTTCAGTATTAGACACAGTTTAGTATACATTAGTACTTGATTTAATAATCAAAACCATGTCCCAAAAACTCTATTACATAGTGTATAATATAACATGAAATTTACATGAAGAACATCTCTGGGCAAGGTAGAGAAGACTACAAGTATGATTAATCAATGAGTGTTGTAGTAGATCAGCTGTACTCCATACAGTGTTATGACGTTCCACAGTCGTGGTGCTCGCAGTGATAAACACGGATGGTGCTGTGTAACTCAAGAGAGTTATTCACAAAGCTGCCACAGGCAGCCGAGCGAATAACCCAGCGGAAGTGAAGTAAGCCGAATGCTGTTCGGCTATTCCCTTCAGCCTTACATCGGCTAAAATCAGCCGTACATCGGCTGCCTTCAGTCAGCCGAATATGTTCTGCTTGTTCGGATGAGCTGAAGTGTAGTAGGACTTTGACTCAGCCGATCCAACATCTGGATTGGCTGAGCCGATGCTCAGGCAGCTCACCTGCTGCTGTTCTCCCCTATTCTCATAGGAGCCGAACGGCAGTGAGTGACTAGCCGAATGCCGCCGAGCGGCATTTAGCTCAGCTATTCTGCTTGCTACCTCCGAGGTAGCAAGCAGAAGAGAAAAAAACATAAATAAAAAAAGTTTACAAATTATTTTTAAAAAATAGGAAAATTAAAAGTTTAGAAAATAGTAAAAAATGTAAAGAAAAAAAACAATAAATAAAAATATTTTTTTTTAAACTGCACGCCGACCCGACCACATGCAACAAACTCCCGCCGCATAATGTAGAATCTGACAGATGCAGGCAAAATATAGACATTTGGGCGGAGCTAGCGGTGACGTTGCTAGCTCTGCACAACTGTTAACTATTGGCCAGAGTCTTCTAGCAGGTCCCAAGCAAAAAAAAACAACTGGGCAGAGCTGGTCGTGATGTCATGGCCAGCTCCCCCCAGTTGTTGTTTAATGACAGATCAGCGTCCCCAGCTCATTTAGGGACGCTGATCTGTCATTACATCTGGGCGGAGCGATCCGTGAGATCACGGTTGACTCTGCCCTGCTGTCATTTGCGAGGAGAACGTTCGGCTTCGGCCGACCTTTCTCCACACTTCGGCAGGCACTACGGCTTAGGCGAGCTCAGGCATATGGGTTCGGCTCGGCTGCCTTCGGCTGCTGTACCAGCTATTGTGAATAGCCCGAACAGCATGCCTTCGGTTCGACTGAACCGAAAAGGCTCAGACGGACGAAGAGAGCCGAAGAATCAGCCGAAGCTACGGCTGGATCCTTTGGCTCTTCTGTGAAAAACCCTTAATGTGTTGAACAGAAGATCACCAGCACTTACAGAATTCAAAGTGTGAATTTTTAATTCCTCTGTATTGAACATGCGTCACATGCGGCTTTGATGATCAATAAAGAGGAATGAAAAATTAAAACTTTGAGCTCTGTGAGTGCTGGTGATCTTCTATTCAACACTTTCATTAATCAATAAGGTAAGCTTGAATATATATGAAAACTGCTTACATATATGGACCTAACCATCTAAAGCCTGTGGAAATCTCATGATGGCTCCTGATGGACAGGAAGAAGAAAAGAGATTGAGCGTAGAAAGCGTATAGCGAAAGTTGATATAGAAGTAGGGAGGAGGTTAAAAATTGGAGGTAAGTAATGGAGTCATAAAACACAGTGGCACTCTTATTCTGTTAAAGTTCACCAGTCTGCAAAACGATTAGATTAAAATCGTTTGTCTGTATGTATCAGCACACAGTCCCAACGTACAGACATCTTGAAAGAAAAAATAAACAATGTCTAAATTGAGTAGATTCCAGAGAGTCTGGAAACTTCAAAAAGACATCTATTCAACCTCAGGAATTGCCATCAACAAGGTTTAACAAGGTTGCAATAACATTCATTAGGAGAACACTGATAACCAGAGATCTGCTAATGAGACCTATCATACATCCCATCACTGCATGTTTATCCAGTCCTGGGTTATAAAGGCTATTGGATACCATCATAAATAGCATATTACCATTAGCACCCGCGCAGCCCACTGCACCACTGTAGGTTGTTGATTCAGGGAATTTCTGGTTGCCTTAGGAAATTTCAGGAGGGATATTTTATGAGGGTTTTTCTTCTGGATCAACTGTGGGTTTTGGTTTCTGTATATGCAAATTTGTAATTTTTTTAAATTAATTTTTCTATTGAGTGAACTCGGTAGACGTTTTCAACCTGACTAACTATGTAACTCTGTCAAATGTAATGTGGTGGGGGGAGCTCATGCAGAGTGCACATAATCCAGGTAACTTCTGCAACACTCACATCCATTGGCCTCAGTCCATTCTGCCTACATTTCTCTACCTTACCACAGCAAAGGGGTCCTTCCTTGCCCAAGCAAAGGTGCTAAAGCCAATGTTCATGATTCAAACCCAGACACACCTCATATATTCAACAAATACAACAGCTCCATTGCCTCCTAAGATGACACCGTGTGTCAGGGTACCAGGGGTGCCACCTCTTACCAGGGTCGCCAGATGCTGCACAGGGCACGGGGTCTCCCTCTTCCTGGCAGAACTCCTGGCGCCAGGGTGCGCATGCGCGTGGTGGACAGACTGCGTGCGCATGCACTGAGGCGCGCGCATAGTGCGCCCGTGCCCATTAAGTACCACCAGGTGCTGGCCTTGAGGAGGGAGGTTCCCAGCACACACTATCCACCCATTCCCTCATGCTATTGGCTCCTGGATGGGGAAGCCTCCTGGTCGTCTTGGCAACCAGGGGGTGGTCCTAAATCCCAGTCAGAGCCCTGTCTTGTTGCTGAGTTATTATACCTGATGGTGCGATCACCCAGCTCCCTTATGTTTACTACTGCTGCTCTTCCTTACCCCTTTTCTCGATTCCCGTGTACTGACCCCTTGGCCTGCCTTCCCGTTTTTGCATCTAGCCGCCCGCCCCGACCCAGATTGGACCTGACTACGCTTTTGGATTTCCCTCTTGTACCGCTATTTCAGATCACCTTATCATTCCTGCCAGTGGGTTCCACTCACAGCTCAGCCGTACCCCCTTGACACCATCTCTCTCCGTGTCCTATCTTCAGTCTTTTCAGACTCTGGGCACCCCTCCAAAAGCAACGTGGATTTCTACCTCAAAAACCAAACAGCAAAAAAATGCAAATAATACCAGAGCTAGTAGAGCAATACAATGAACATCTCAGCAATCTAAGATGGAGTTAAAGGGTAATTCCACTTTCCCAGAGGAATTTGGGAAAATGGAATTACCCCTACCAATCTGCTACCTCTCCCTTCTCTTAACTTTGGATGAACGTTGCTTCCCCTCCGCAGCTGCCGGGGGAAAAATCTGTCTCCCATACACAGCATCGCAGCTACGCATTACGTATTTCACCTGACTGTGTTGACCAATGAGAAATGCTTCTGACCACGCTGACCAATGAGGAGCACTTCTTAGCTTTAGATTCATTTATATCCAGCGGATATCACTGTACTAAGATAGTAGTTAAAAATGTCTGCCAGTCGTATTCAGTTAATTTAGGAATATATTGTTCTTTATGTCAGGACAGTTTGAAGGGTTTATCCTGATCAAAAACCAATTGCAAATTTGAAGTAGCACCGTCTCCACTGAGGAGGACTGAACACCCACATCCTGTAGCCCAAACTCGGCTGCAGCTGTGTATTTGAGCTGGCGATATCCAAAGTGCCCAGTATTAAATATCCCCAACTCACTTTTTAACTTGCAACAGGGTTTAAAAGAGCCCTAAGAAAATAATGTAACTGGCGCACATATTTTAGTCTCACCTTTGCCCACTGTGGACCGTTCAGAACAGTCAGGAATTGTGTAAGCTCAGGGTTATACCATATTGGATTGTTAAGGAAGATGGTCTGGGATGTTTGTGGCATAATCTGGAGGCATTGTTTATAGCTTTTTAAGGACATTGCCTGGATGGTGGTTCCAATATTAGTAGGATGGTATATTCTTGTGTATGAGGTTAGAAAGGGACCACCGCTGCTTCCATGACTGTAGCCGCATTATTAAGCTGTGGGAATACACAAGTAAATATACATCATCTGAGGGGCATAGTCATACCTTCATAAATCTGGCAATGCCAATTCACCCTGAAATTGTCACATGCGTCTTACAGCGAATGTTTTGGGGCAGCGCAGGGTCCCTTCTTCTGGGTGCCCAAAAGAAGGGACCCTGCGTGGCGCCCGAAACGTTGACTGTAAGACGCATGTGACAATTTAATAAAAAGTGCTTTACTTCTTGACACACATATCATTAAGTGCTGGTGACTTCTATTATGCACTGTATTGGACACGGCGTCATCCGTGTTGTCACTTTAAGCACCAACCCTTGATCCAAGGTCTGTACTCTGTATGGAGTGCAGGTGATTTCGTATTATCGATTGTAAGTTTTGAACTCAAAAGTTTTAAAGGACACTTTTCAGTTCAGTTGGCCCTATCGCATGTTGTGGGTCTGACAGATAAATTAGCACGTGATCTGGGTATAATGATACTCTCTTTTCTAGGGCTTCTACTCGTACCCCACTAGTCACAAGGGGTTTGCTTATAATCTCAGCAAGGGGTTCGATGGAAAAAGCTAATAAAAGAAGTGACGGGGCAACCCTGTCTTGTTCCCCACTAAATAGAAAAGGGGTTTGAAACAGTGGCGTAACAATAGCCATAGCAGCCTTGTGGTCTGTGGTAGAAGGGAGTCCCATTAGGGGGGCAGATTAAAAAGACTGACAGGAGTCAGACCTCAGAATTGTCTAGTCACAGAACCCTCTCTGTGCAATAAGAAGTATTTGCTTATCTATCTTAACAGTGTAGATTTATTGCCTTCTGAACTGCTACAGACTGAAATTAACCCTGCATGGCTCCTCTGTTAAAAACGTATAGGAGGGCTGAGGTTTGTGGTTTGTGGCTGTACACAAATTTTAATGAAGCTTGATTTTAAAGAAGTTTTATTAGGGTTGAAGAGTAAGTGTGTGCAAGAACATTAATCGTTTATCATCATATAAAATATCATTATGGTTGTTTTTATTATTAGTGCTACTATAACTTTTGTAAATCTAGCAATGCCAGTCCACCCTGACAGCTCTCCTGTTGGCTGTCCTTGATACATATTTCATGTTTAGAACAATGACACGTATTGCCACAGTTGACACTGCTAACCGCTACAGAGAAAGTTAGCCTGGGGGCCCCAAAGTTTTGCTATGGGGCCCGATGATTTGTAGTTATGATCCTGGTCTGAAATAATGTAATTTACCCTGGTGTCAATGTCACTTAAAATTAATGGCACCGCGGTAATGCAGGTAACGTGTTGATATGCATTGCTGTAACATGCATGTTGATGCACATTATTGCATCTGAAAAGTGTGATTTGATGCTTAATTTCTACAAAAAAAATTAAAAATCCAGTTGGCCACTTTGGGCTAGTTCTACATTTATGTGGACAGTTTAGTTTAGTTTTTATAAATAGCCTTCTTAATAAAAATATTTTTTTTAATTTAACCATAGAAAATATACATTATTGTTATAAAAATTCAAAAACATTTTCCCATGCAGGTCTAATGTCACTACAGATGAATTTGTGTTTTGTAATGGACTAGTGCTGCACAGACTTCAGTGCCTTCGTGGATTTGGTGAATGGCTGGATTCAGTTAGAAACTTTTCATTACATATACAGAGCCTTAACCTTGATGTCTCAACAATAGCCTGTCTGTCTGCAGTGTGTCTTGTTTCTGGTAAGCAAATGAAATAAGCAAAAATATATGACAAACATATTTTCTTCCTATTACTATGTTAGTAACACAGTCCCTCAAATGGGCTCAAAACCTCTGACTTTTTTTGATCAAAATGTTTTTTGTTGAATTTCTCCTAATGTAAAATATTTATATATACATGTACTAATTACCTGTAAGGGTGGTTTTTGTTGCATTTAAGGATGTGTAAACTTGGTCATTTATTTTAGCAAAATGGATTGGAGGTAATGGGGGAAGGCAAAATGACTGGTTTAGCCCTTTCCCTGCCACTGACGTAAGTCATACAGCGGAAGAAAAACGCTCTCAGCTGGCCCGCTCAGTATGCCTTGTGTCGGCTGCATTCACGCTTCTGCAATAGGCTTATGGTTGCTCCGGCAACCATAAGCTTATAGCAGAAAGGTCCCCCTGACTGGTTTGTGTAAAGAAATAGCTATCATCAACAGCTAACAAGGAGAGAGGAGAGAGCGGCAGGGAGAACAGAGCAGTGACAGATGAGAGCGGGGTGGAGCTACGATATGCCAAATGGAGCATCTGCAAATATGTGAAATATTTGGCGATCCTTCCCTTCAAAACTAACATAGGAGTGATCAGTACTGACCACTCCGTTGTTTATTCATAACCGAGGAGATAGTAAGTGTAAGTAACTATGTCATAGCAAGTAACTATCCTTTATCTTTTAGAAATCTTGTAAATAGTTTTTTTTGTATGGGTTATTAATGAATTGAATGTATTTCTAACTAAAATATTGATTTGGTAAACATTTGTGCAACTGTCACGGAACCTACATATTAAGTAGCACTGTCTTTTTATTCTACTGGTCCAGTGCTTTCAGAAAATTTATGGTTTGGGGGGTATTTTACAAACTCTGAAAGCTGCAGTTGAAAATTAATGGAGAATTATGGAGTGAGTGAAAAACACTCATCCCCATAATTCAAGCCGACCTGTGACACTCTATTGATCGTGAAGTCAGCGAGCACATACCGCCGATCACTGACTTCCTGATCCTCTCCCTGCAGAGAGTGGTGACTGTCAGAGATTACCCCTCCTTTGTCCGTTTCTCCAGCTCTGATTGGAGGAACAGATGGGGGAGAGGGCGGGCACAGTTTGCTCTGTCTTTAGAGAGGCAGAGCCAGCTGTCAATCAATCAGGGCCAGTATTGTTTGTGGCTGTGGCACGGCTCTGCGCTCTCAGCATATAGTGGGCATTGGGCAATAGCCCGCTATATACTGAGTTTTGGGTCACCGAAGAACATTAGTATTTGTCCTCCCATGACCCTGAAGAGAATTATGAACAAAAAAAGTTTTTAAAAAGGTGAAAATTGCAAAAATGGCCTGGCCAGTTAAGGTTAACAGTGAAGCGCAGGGCCTTGCAGCGAAAGGTTTAACTATCTGCTGTCCGGCCATTGTAAGCAAACCGCCGCACAGCAGCTTCTTGAGGGTGGGTGGGCGTCTTTAGACTTCCTATCCCGTTCCGCTCTTAGCGGCGGGCACGAGCGGGAAACCGGCTTTGAATGTAAGCAGCCAGCGATGGCTGTTTACATACAAGCGTTCGGGCGTCTGTAGAGACGCCCGATCGCTTGTAATTGCGTGCGGGCGTGCGCCCCCCCTCCATCGCCGCCGCTGCTGGCGATCCCGGGCTCCGCTGTTCTCGGTGTGAGCCCGGGACCAGCACAGCAGCTCTGCGGCCGGAGATCAAACGGAGCTCAGTACACGACCTCGGTTTGATCTCCTCTTCTGAATGCAAGCAGTGATGTGTGTTACATCACTTCCTGCATTCAGTGTCACTCTCCGGTACAGAAACCGGAGAGAAGTTGGTGAAGCAGATCTATGCTTCATCAGCTTCTCTGGGGGTCCCAAGGTGACATTAGGGGTCTTAAAGACCCCTGATGTCTCTATAAAGAGGACCTGTCACTGCAAATTGGCTATCACATAGGGAGCTTGTTTGCTCCCTATGTGATAGCAATAAAGTTCAGTGGGGAAAAAAAAGGTTTAAAAAAATTTGTTAATAAAAAAATAAAAAATCACATATCAAAGCAATGAAAAAAAAAAAAAAAATTAAAGTCCCCCGCCCCCACATGCACACGCAAACATGCGTCAAGCCCGCCTATGTTCGAAAACGACGATTACATCCATTGCGCCGCACATGTTACATATCGCCGCGCACTTCGGAGGGCGAGCACTAATTCTAGGGCCATCAATCACTGATAACACTAAACTGATGAGCGGTAAAAGCTTTTTTAAAGCGCCGGCTATGGTAAATTTTGAGTATGGTCGTTTTTTTGCGATTTAACGCGTGCGCGCAATTTTAAAGCTTGACATGTTTGGTATCTATTTACCCGACGTGACACCGTCTTTCATATTTTACCGAAAAATTGGGTAATCTATCTGTCCCCAAAAAATGGTATAAAATGAATTTCAGTACAGCGTTGCATGACGGAATAAATGTCAGTCAAAGTACCGCAGCGCTTAATACTGAAAAATGGCCTGGTCAGGAAAGGGGTATAAACACCCCGGTCGGCAAGTGGTTAAAGTGTATCAAAACCCAAAAGCAAAAATGTCATATATTGAAGTTTACCAATCCTTAAAGCTCTTTTTATTTTTCAACTTTCTTTAGCAGACCAATCTCTTCAGCAAAAGTGACAGATAGAGGGTTGAGACAAACCATTTAGCACTGACAGGAAAAACAAAAAACTGTTGATGTAACTGCCAGTCATTCATTGGAGTAAAACTGGCGGTAAGGCAAGAAGCTTTTTTCGGCTTGACCAAGACTTCTCGCAAAGTGTCAGGGGCAAAATAGCGGAGCAGACATTGCAAAATCATTGCCTTCAAGGGACTGGAAGTGTCTGGCCTTATCTAAATGAAACATTCAGTTCACAAAGCAATCATTTTTTCTATACCTACCTCCTTATTGTAGGTATCTACAAACTGCACATTTTTTTATTTCACCTTGTAGTGCCACAAGGTGATTTTTTGAGACCAAGTTCGTCGCTCATAACTAGTTACTACTAAATTCATGTTAGAGGAAACAATTAAAATTATTGTGAAGTGATTTTCAAAAACAAGTTCAAAGTAAAAGTGGTAGGTGATGCAAAGTACTATATAGTTGTATATCTGTTTTAATTTTCTAACCCACATTTGAAAAGTATCATTTATTTACAATAGCGGTTGCAAAGAGGTTGTGCATGGGATATGCTAGGGTTGTTAAAGATCCTGGGTCCCATGGATATCCAGATTAAAATGTTGCGGACTCTCTTCTGTTTCCCTTCTCTTTTCTCTTTGCTTTTGTCCCACTAGACACTTAAAAGTACATCTAAACATACCATCTGTTCACTGCTTTCATCACACAATAAATTGTTTGTTCTTAATTAAGTCATCCAGAAATAAGTCTGAGAATAACATTTTCCTTACACTCATTACCTTATAGCGTAATTTAAAAAAGTGCCATTAGATGCCTGAAATTATCATAATTACGTAAAGAAAATCTTTAATGAGAGAATTATATGGGGACCATTGCTGACTTCCTTATTTAAATGCAAGTTGTATGAGTAGTATTGGCTTCGGTCACAGTGCAGTCACTCTTGATCAGAATACTGTACAATTCTAAGTCAGTATTTAAATGGCTGCATTAGCATAACACCCAAGCAACCAATAATTGAAGGAGCAATTTTAGCTTACTTATATCCTTAGTGCATGGTTGGGGCAGAGCAATGGAGCCGTGATGACGTGTGTACTTTGGGCTCTGCTCCCAACGGCACTTTCAATTGACTGTCTGCAATCTTCCTCACTCTGAACCCATGTCTAAGGGCAGAAAATCCCGCAGAACGAGTGGCAACCTACCCAGTGCACAATTCCTGGATTCTTCCACGCCACGCCTTCCAACACCCTGCCGAGGGCATCTATAGCAATTGTGCCGATCGGCCATGAGGGCGCCCACGTGTCAACTCCACCGCCGGGAGGTCCTGAGGCTCGGGTGGGATCCGCACTACTCCGGTGCTGTCGGAGGGTGAGTCCTCCCCTGTCCGGTCTCCCCGAATTGAATATCCGGAGCCTTCTCCCCCAACTCGATCCACACTTACCCCGCCTGACCTCTCCTCAGTGCTGGGCGTGGACCTGGGATCTGTGCTTCGGTCCCTGGCCACAAAGGAGGACATTGATCTTCTAGCCCTGAGGGTGGAAGGGGCCCTACGCAGGGAGATCGAGGAAGTGGGCAACAGGATTACTCACCTGGATGACAGAGTTTCCGTGACCGGGTCTTCACACTCCGCCCTGTCAGCTCGGGTAGAAGCCCTAGAATGCACCATGGCGCCTCAGGCCAGGGTCTGTGCGTTGCTTCACCTCCAGGTTGATAATGGAGAAAACAGGAACCGCCACAATAATATCAGGAAGAAATTATGCGCAAAGAGTGGATCAAGAAATCAGTGGAGTTCTATTGGGGCGATGATCACCATCCTTCCGGACCTTTCCCACCAAACGCTCTACTTGCGACAGCTGCTTCGCCCATTGCTGGCGTTGATCTTATTGGCTGATCGAGTGCTTCTCCTGAAGCCAAGTCTCGTGGGGTGAGTATCCTAATGTAAAGGCATATTGGCTGGCAACATCTTTCCACAAGAGTGGATGGAAACAGGCATTTCCTATTTTTGAAGGGCCATGTCTTTGGCACCTTGGTGACTTTTGTGAACATTTATAATCCCTAACTCTGACCACATTTCTTTCTTGGAGGACTGTCTGCTTTCTCTAGTCGACTTTGCGGAGGGTATAGTGGTGATTGGAGGTGACTTCAACGTGGTGCTTGATCCTCGGTTGGATGTCTCCAGAGGAGCCTCACATCTTTCATATTCCTTCCTGAAATGCTTCCGGAAAACCCTCCATGTGGACCACTTAGTGGATGCGTGGCACCTTATGCACCCAAGGGATCACGACTATTTGTTTTACTCGTCTGCTCACAAGTCATATTCTCGCATTGCCTATTTTTTAGTCAAGCAA